CGAGCGTAAATTCGCATGAGAGCAGACGAGCAGAGGTTAAATTCTCTTTAAGGTGTACTAAGTTCAAGATCTTATGAGAGCACACAAGCAGAGAACAAGTTCGCATAAGGGGAAACTAACAGAGGGCAAGATCTTATGAGGTCAAAGCAGCAATGGGCAAATAGCAATCTTATAACGGCAGACAAGTAGAAGGCTAGTCCTTATGAAAATGAGAGTGGACAAGTTTTCATAAGGACACTGAGTAGAGCAAATGCTCTTGAAAGCAGATGACCTGAGGTCAATATATTTTTTAACAAAACAAACAGAGGTAAATATTATGATTTTTATTACGTAGTAATAAATTGATTTTCTTGATGTAGACTCTTGATTGACTTTTTGTATGTTTCTTTATCAACTACATTAATAAATAGCTTAAAATAACTTTTAGTTCGAAAGGGTAGCAATTCTTTTTGTAGCATTGGTAATTATAATTTTAAATAATTATAATATTTGATTTTAATGAGTCAGAGTCAACCCTCTCAATTTTTTCAAGTAGAATGTCATACGATCTATATTTTGCTTCCTAAATCAGTACGAAAGTGAATCATGGATCTCTAGAAGATTTATAATATTTTTATTATATTAGTCAGATTTTTGGATCAGAGGATACCTCTTTAGAAAATCAAACGAATTCCCTTGAGCTGTATTATTTTTTAGTCAAGAATAAATAATGATAACATTAAACAAGATATTCCATTTATACACTTGCAAAATCTTTTCTGATATGTTATGTTATTGAATATTTTGAATATTTATATAAAAAATTCGAAATTCGTCGCCCTTGTTATTAATAAAAATTTTAATTGTTGTATACTTTATTCATTGTATAACTCTGACATCGCGTTATCAGGATCTGAAGCAGGAGGTTGATAATCATCAGTTGTCTCGTTAACTTATGTATCAACTGCATTATCAGGTTCTATAAGATATGTTTGATCCATTATCAGGTATTCATTATGTGATATAACTTCCATTGGATGAAACTTGTGTAACATCTTTTGATATATTGCAATTCGTGAAAGTAAATAAATCCTCTCATAAAAGAAAGAATGAATCTCTAAAAAAACGTGATCCAATTGGCTCAAGTATACTTACTTTACCTTAAAATTCGAAATTAAAAAATGTTAGAGAATAAAGAATTTGATAATTGACTGAAAAAATGAGACACGTGTATCGCGCCTGATGTGCACTACCCAAAAGATTTTACGGCTTCGTGTGTACAGATGGACGTATGTGTGCACATGTGCATGCTGTGCATGCATCTGATTTATAATCTTCAGAGCATAGGCGTGCATGCATAACTGGGTAAATGTGTGTGTCCATATGTGCGACTGTGTATGAGTGCGTGCGGGTGTTCGGACCTTTGGTCAGTCAAAGTGAAATCAATTTGACCAGTTTGAGACACCACATGTGTTGGAACGCGATTTCAATGATTTACTATATAGTTATTTACATCCTGTAAATATGGAGTTACTGTAGCAGCAGGATAAGTAAGAGAGAGCGAAAACACCGAGCTACAAATTAAATATGAGAACGTAAAGTTAGATCGCAAGAAAGAGTTGTATATGTATACATGTTTGCATGACGGTAGACGACAACTTTATAAAGAGAGAAAAAAAGACTGAGAAAAATGAAATCTCAAAATGTGAAAAGAAAGAAAAACAAAGATCGTTAAAAATATGTGAAGAGTGACAAAAATAACTAGAAAAATGAGGAGCACAAACAACCTATCGAAACATAAAAAAATCACAATAAGTTTATAAAAGTTTATTCAAGTAAAACACACTTCATATACAAAATATTAGGCGATAGTAGTTTTTAGATATTTATAAAAGTTATTAAAATTTCGTTGTAAATTGTTTATTATTTATAGAATATGTATTTATATATTCTATATGTGTAATAAATATGTGTAATAAATAACTATTTGGATAATTTATATCTTCTCAATAGTATTTTCTTCAAAAAAATACTAACCAAAGTTTTGCCGCGATATGTATATGCATCGCCAGTACTATGACCTCAACATTTCCTCACAAATCTTCGAAAATATTGAATATAGAATGTTGAAAATTGATACACATACTTTGAACCATCATGAACAACTTTCTCGCTGACAGTTTTCCATAAGTAAAGATTTATGAATTTTTTTGCAATAAGAAAAGCTTGTTCCGTGCTAAGCACCGATTGCATAGTTTTAGGGGCTATCTCGCTTGACGCGAGCTCTGATCCGATTCAGCCCTTCAATTGATAAAAAATGTCAACAAAAAAATTTTAAACTAATTAACGTAATTCTCAAAAATAATGATTATTCAGTAGGTTTCATTAAAAATACATCAATAAATGTTTGTTTAAACAGAAGACGAAGAATGAGAATTCTAAAAATTCTAATTAGTATTTTATCACCATACGACGTAATAAAAGTATTTTTTTCAATTTACATCTATTGTTAAAGATTACAATATCTTTAACATTCCTTTATAGACAAAACCTCTATAATAATTTGTACAGTTAGAAAAAGATAAATTGAAATTATTGGAAAGAACTAAGATTTTATATAAGTTTCAATGTAAAAAATACACATTTGTATATATTAGTGAAAGTAAGAGATTATTCGAAATTAGTTTAAATCAACATTGAAAGAATATTGGGGGTGAAACTATCATTGTCGCACAAAAAAACTTTTTTTCGCACAACTTTAATTAAGATAGTGCTAAGATGTTAGATTACGAGAGTAATTACAAAAAACGCAGAATTTTTGAAATGCTACACATTGGCTTATCGACCAATAGCTTAAATAAGAAAGAGGACCTACATTTCCTCAATCATTCATACAAACCTCTGTTGAATTTTCTTGAAATAGATTATCGTTAAGTGGTTATCTCACGAATGGAGCAGATTATAACGACATAGTATGCAGCACTTTCCTATTAGTATGTACTTTGACTAGCAAGGCGAAAAAATTTTCTTGCTTTTTTATTGCTCAATTGTAGACGATTATATAATTGTAATATTGTGATGTTATGTATTGTTTTGATAAAATAAAAAATTTTCATGACATTTTGTGATTTGCTGTTTTTTTTTTGAATTTTTAATAAAATCTGATGAAGATGAAGTAAGTAAAATAGTTGATGAAACATCTAACCAATCAATGATGAGTTAACTTATTTTTCTCACCTGTTTCTTCTTCTTGGATAGTCATAGTTATAATTAAGTCCTAATTATGGAGGGAAATATACTATCTATGGAAGAATTTTTTTTCTCAGTGATATTTAAAAATTAACGTTTCATTTTTTCCTTATTTTAAAATCAACAAGTGGTTGAAGGATGACCGTAAGGTGATATTGACCAATCAAGTTATTCGCAATGTTCGTCTGAAAATTGTAAGAGAAAGACTTGTTGATGAGCTTTAATTTCATGACATCGCTTATTTATTTCCTCAACCATCGGCTATTATTCAGCTTATATAATTGAGCGAATCCTTTCCATTGTTCACATTCAAGATTTTTTAGTGAAACACATAAGAGAAATGAAGTTATTACATAAAGTTTCGTGAAACTTTATGTAATAGAGAGTTTTGTAGGAGTGAATACGCAGCTAAATAAATAAGACACAATATTCTTATAAAATACTTTAATGAAACTTAAATCCGTCTTTTATAAACACCACAAATCGTCAACTGACTTATATGAAGCTAATCATTACTTTTTTACTTTTTTTTTAATAAAACTGTCGTGAAGGAAACAACAATGCTCACTTGGTGATCATATTCCAAATTGATGAACATTCAAATGCGGTCAATCTATAGGCTAGTATAGCCCAGGTTTGTAAACTCTGCGAACCTACTTTTAATATTGAAACCAACTGATCACTACTATGGATATTCACATTGCTTTTTTATATACATATATATAAGCAGAGATTTTTTTATTATTAATAAGCATTATTAAGATTTTATATTCATTATTATTTTTAGATATTCTTCAGTTTACATTACTATGTAGTGTAATTCATGCCAATAAATATGGCAAATTGGTCACTCAACCTTTAATTTATTTTACTTCTCTGATATTCTTTAGTCATAAGTGAAATTATTTTACTTATTATTACGAAATATGTGACTGATGAAATTATTTTGTACAAGTGATTAATTAGAATGGTTAAAAGTAATGTTTTTTCTTATATAATTGAATAATAACCTTCATGAAATTTAAAAATAATAATAAATAGAATAATAAAAAGGGATTCTTTACATTACTTTTCAATATTTCAATTAAAACTTGTAAATAATGTTGAAGATATATTTCAACTTAATATAAATATATTACGAATTTCTCTGTTATATATAATATCCACGGCTTTATTGATAGAGTTATCTTATTTTATATTTATTAATGTGCTTGATATAATTATTCATATTATTCTAATTCTATCAAATCAATCTACATTGATATTTTTAAAGTGATCCTTTGATTATTACATAACTCTCCTAATTTCAATTGAACAGATTTGAAACAAAAGTATAATTTTAATTAGAAATAATTATGATTATAACTGATTATAATTATAATTAAAATTATGATAGAAGTAATTATAATTATTACTAAAAGCTTATACAAGAATCATGTACATCGATAAAGCTTATATCTGAATTTTGATTATAATACTTAAATATCCACACACGATACACAAAGAAGGTAAATGACCATGTGTATTAATATTTATCCTATTCTCATATGTTTTTAATAAAAAAAAGTACCACAATATATAATTAATTTAGAAAAAGAGTATTACACATTAAATTCAAATCCTGAATACATTGATAGTTCACATTAAGGCAATTATAGTTTGAAAACAAATCTTCTATGTTTATTAAAGTATAAATAAATCAATAAGTTTATTTCCTTACATCAAATTTTTTGTTTTGGCAAGCTGTTAAATGATCAAAGTAAAATACTTACAATGTTTTGGCTGACTCATTTCTGATGTATAATATGAAACTAAACAAAAACGAGTCAAATTCCTTGGATAGAACATTATAAAACCTTTTATTTATAAATTCTCATTACATCCAAACAATTATTTTATCTATAGAAGATTTTTTCACGCAAATACTATAAAATATTTTTTGTGAATTCATAATCACTACTAGGCAATTTATACAAGTCACTATGCGTTCGGCTAAAAAATTCATTAGTGTTCATCAGTAGCAAAATAATATCTAGATTTTCATGTAGGAGTCTGTTCATCAAGTAGGAAAAATGTATATTGTAATAAATAGCAAACTAAATTGTCTATAAGTTTTTTTCCAATCGAATAAACCCAATATTGATTTGATCCCTTCTAGCCTAGATTTGTACGGTCAAATATTAGACGCTTAAAGATGCTCTCACATGAAATTGTATCGTGACGAAAATCCTATCCATAAAATAAGATGAACTATATAGATGAGTGGAATCACTTTATACTAATTCCGTTTGATCTAGTATATTTTACATAAAATAAAAATTTTAGCTGTTGAATCCTAATATGCAACCAAATTTATTTGCCTTACCACAGTTTTTTTTAATAAATAATTAATAACAAAAATATTTCGATGTTTCTACCTTTTGTATTAATCAATATTTTTAATTCAAGTACATTTAAAAATTCACCCCTTGATTAATGTCATTTACTTGATTAAATAATATAAATAATTTTTAAATAGTTTTTGTTTCCACACATTTATTAACTATTGACAATCAGTTCAATTCATTTTTGCGAGTATGTGTACATTGCGCATGTGTAACGTAGTGAAGGTTATAGCATCTCATATTTGTTATCATATCTCTTTTCAATATTTATAATTTTGTAAATGTCCATGGTAGTACACTTATATAATTAGTTTAGTAGTGTTATGGCAAGAACAAATAATGATACACGCGTATGAGATGTAATTGATTAATGTTTCGACCATGAATTTTCCTTTAATTAGTAGAACGATACCTTTCCCTTAATTCGGTAAACGTTTAGATCATAGAGAATAAGCAAATGGATCCTGGCATTAATCGCTTGTGAAAATCTAAAAATAGAAATAATTTTATGAATAATAAAATTTATAATAATGGAAGGAAGGGAAAATAGTGCAAGATGGAAATTTACTTGAATTTTAATTTTATTCAGCAACGTTTCGTCAGCAAATTTGCCGACCACTTCAGGCTTTATTAAAAAAAAGAAAACGAAACTCATCAACAATGATGTTCACAAAATCAATTTGGCATGCAATTAATTATATGTATATGTGTATACCTGATATCTCCCGTAGTCAATTCTGGTAGGCTAAAACGAGTATCTTGTAGCCAGTCAAAATTCAAAATAAAAGTAAGAAATCAAGTATTACTGCGATATATATATAACACAATATTCATTTGTCATCTCCTCTTCATCAATCTTAATAAAGGATTATAGATATGACTAAGATATTTTATATCCTCTTTTCTATTTAAACTGTTTTCATGTAAGTTAATAAGTAACATTTCGGATATTCTGCGTTTCTTGAAATTATTTTCATAATCTAATATCTTAGCTTTGTCCTAGTCAAATTCATGTGAGAGAGTTCTTCTATGTGCAGAGACCACTGTTTCTGAGCTAAATTTTATTTTGTGTTCATTCAATCTGATTTTTAATGCGCGTTTGCTTTCGTCTATGTAAACTGCTGAACATTGTTTACAGTTGAAACTGTGACAATACCAGTTTTATTCATTCAATCGGATTTTTCTTTACCTAAACGAATAATCTCTTGTAATGGCTTCTGTGATAGAGAAATTGGAGTAATATTATATTTTTTTAACATGGAAGAACACTTTTTGAAGATATAATTATTCGGAATAGCAACTATTGGTATTTTTTTGTTTATTAATTTTTTAGAATTTTTATTACCTTTTTTATATTTGCTAATGCATTTTGTGTATGTTTTTTAATAAAATCAATTGGATAGTTATTCTTTTTTAAAATTATTATTATTTAAGGAATTATAAGGAAATTAAGACAATATGTTGCGTATTAATATTGAGAACTTTGGCCAGCTTTTGACAATCGGTCAGCTTCTCAACGTCATCGTCACTGGTTCGAGACTAGATTGAAGTAATTTTTTATTTTTTATACTATTTTTTCTTAGTAATCAAAATAATTGCATAAAACATTAATTACACAAATATGAATTGTTCATATTTATCTTTTATTTCATTTAACATTTTATATCATGAAATTAAATTTACGTATTTGCCAAAGTAATATATATCAATATTTTACTTTAATCGCTAATACTATAATAATTAGTTATATTCTTGACATCCTACTTCGTCTCAAACCCCTACACCTCTCGATTAACATATGTGACATTCATGATAAATGTACTCAATATTTCGATAACCGAGATGGCTAATGCCCGTATCGTATTTCTTTGTTTTTGCCATTTCTGGTTCGAGACTCGCCCGGAAATCTATTTTTTCTTTTTATAAAATTAATCACTTTTATTGAAATCAATTTTTAATTTTTTTTCACTCCTATTGATACTATTAGTCCATTATAATCGAAATAATTGTAATATATTGTAATGGGGTGGATAGCTAGTACAATGGAAATTTATTGACGACCAAACTCCCACGATGCAGAGCTAACCGGTGCTCCGTTAAACACGTATACTTATACGTACATTCACCTTTATGTTTGATATTTTCGTTTCAGTGTCTTCTTTCCAACCGAGTTGAACTCACCTTAAGTCACTTGACTTGTGACACTCGATCTAATTTAGGTGTGAGTGACCTAATTCTTAATCCGACTAATCCCCTAGATGAAATCGGATTAAAACTTAATCCTTTATAGATCTGTTAAGATATTAGAAAACGAAATGATCTAATACGGCGAATAAAATTAATAATGTTTAATTCAAAAAAACTACAGTCTTTTACGGGCCGAATGATTAACACATGCAAATAGGATTTACAATGATTAATAATAATTCTGTGAGAAGGAGAATTCGAACTTTGCCGCGAAATTTAAAGCTCGGCGAGAATACAAAAAATGACGCTCGCGATAGACAAAATTCTTTCGATAGTATTTTGTCGCGCAATAAAAGGGAGGTGCATCTACCCTGCCGTGCAGATACGGTGATCAGCCGTAATTATTGAAGCAAAATTAAAAGATACTCCTTGGATCCAAATCAGCTGCGCTGCCTCACTCGTAATATCTGATGCTGCTTGAGATGCTGCTGCTGTAAATGCTGCTGCTGCTTAGCTTTCTCGCTGCACTCACACGTATTAAAAAATATCTCAGGAAAACTTTGTAAAAACGGTGAAACACTATGCAAAATATATGGCGGTGCTATTTCAAAAGCAGTTGAGGCATAACTGAACATTTAAACTATCGCGCGCCCTCTCTCTTGTTACGACTCACGTAACGGCCGTGAATTGACAAGAATTACTCAAACGCGACTGTTTCTTTTCGGTCAACGCGTAAGCGCTTTACCACGGGTGCGAGACTCAAACGAAAGCAGGACGGCAACGTATCTAAAATACCTAGTGAATAAGTAATAATTTAATAATTTACCTGCAGTTTAACTGGTCCAGAAACTCTTACCTCAGAACCCAGAGATGGACGTGGATTAGGTATAACTCTCAAATAAGTATTATAGAAATCGATTTATAATATTTATTGATCGAATTACAGTAGGTGCGTAGTGTCACAGAGTAGAATACAGAGTCTCTGGTACAATTGTTTTGCGTTCTCTTTTATAGCACAAAATACATAAAAACTAATCGATAAAGGGTTAATCCCAGAAGGGGAGAGTGCGTCACTGAGATTAAAGTCAGCTATTAAATAACTACTGCTTTTAATTACGGTGCGGGAGAGGACAGCCACCGTGCGCCTTGGGCTGGTCTCTGCTAATTTTTCTGGGTTCTTTCTCGGTAAAGAAAGCCGGCGCTAACTTTCACAGGCCGAAGATCGCTCTGGTTCGGGAGGTTGATACAAATAATCGAACACTGTAATTTACTTATACTACATATGGCGATATCATTTATTGACGCCTTTTCACAAATATCGCTACAAGATCTACTTCACCGCAGTGAGCGCGCTCGCTCAGCCTTTTCGCGACCAGAGTTCGCGGGATCACGCGAGCGAGATAAATTTCTCACAATACGCTAATGTCTGCAATCAAGCGAGAGCTGGCGTGAGAGAGATAAACTGGCCTTAGACCCACCGGATGCCGACGGTCCGTCGGTAGAGAGGCGACGCCGGCGAAAGCGTAGACCCACCGGAAACGGTGCCCTGGCGACAATTGAGGTTGCTGCAGGAAGGGCCGCAGCACGGCCTTTGTCTTGTGGACGGCGAATGGTCGCTGCTTGTCCTGGCTCAGCTTTAAACACCTTGTTCTCCTGGCAAAGTGGCAGTCGCACTCCCGGCAGTAGTTCCTTTCCTGCCGAAATCGTGTCTTGTCCAGTCTCTCCTTAGGCGGCCCTAATTACTCGAGAGCTCGCGCTTAACTGCCCTTCCTCTCTCTTAATTTTCTAAGCCTCGCGCTACCGCGCTCCCACTTCTCTCGCCGTCAAAAATCAGTCAAAATCGCTCTCTCTCTCTCTCTCTCTCTCTCTCTCTCTCTCTCTCTCTCTCTCTCTCTCTCTCTCTCTCGCTCTTCTCGCTCTCACTCGTACTCACGGCGACACCTCACCGATCGTCGCGCTCCTCTCTCCAGATCCTGCAACGACACAAGTATGTACTCGCTATATAGCGTACACTTGGTCGCTGCGCTCGCGCGAGGTGAGTGCCGCACACAGGGCTAGCGAACATCGCTATAACCCTGTCACAACGGGAACTCCCCTTCCATAAAAAATTCAAATTTTACCGCCATAAAATAGTCTGACTTGTCCTCGACGTAACACGCCCGCCCCTGAAGACCAGCGGCGTAGGGCGCTCGCAAGTTGCACCTGCCTATTTGAAATTGCGTACATCAAGATAATATACTTATACTTTGCACATAATGAGTTACAATAAGCACTACGTACTAAACACCCAGTAATTTTACACATATATATGTTTGAATGAGAAAAACTTCGAAGCACTATAAAGTTTCTAATTATCAAAAGGCAAGAAACCACCACTCCACACTACATTTAATCTTCTTAGAAATATTTCTTCTCCTATGGTACCAGGCTTACATATACGGCATTTTTCTCCGGGTTGGAGGGCATTCTGATGGGCGGTTGACCAGCACTCCCAACAGACGAGGAAGATATTCTTCGGTCCATGGGTTAAATATTTAAAAATACACAGCTTACAAAAACGCCACACAGGTAGAGGTCGAGAACACTGTACACAGTTATCAAAAGTTAATAAGTCCGCAAAACCCACACCTCTATAAGGCAGATGTACAAATTCGGCGTATGTTCTTCCGCGTTCGATCCTTTCTCCATGAAAATATGCTACAAGATAATCTATCCATACCTGCATATCTTCTCTCATACATTCATGCTGTGGTCGAGGAACATACTCTACATACTGCAACTGGTCGTTTTCATATCTTAACTGCCAGCGTTTCATGATGATTTGAAGTTGCTTATTCATGATATCAGGTCCGGGTACTAGCGGTAGGATTAGGTCGTATCCCATCATACGAACGCAATCCTCTGATGTCTTTCGGTAGTCTTCGCAGCTGTCATAGCAAATCTGCCCTAAGACTTGAGCCTGATTTGTTGGGTTACCCGCTCTGTATGGTCGTCCCATTTTCATTGCTTCGCCGTTTAACCACAAGATGATTCCTCGTCGATACATTTCCGGTAAAACCACGTTGTCGTATGGTTCCGGACTGTTGAACAAGTTTAAGGGATCACTTATCACTTCTTCTTCTGTGATCACAAATCCGTGGTTTTCTCCATAAACTTCTTCCAACTTTTGCAAGACCCTACTCACGAACATGTTATACAATTACTTATAGAGACACAGACACAAAACTAATTGACACTATGCTGTCTTACTGGCAACTAAGTCCCTTTTATTTTACTCTACTTTTCAAACCGTGAACTTAATCATTAATCTAGCTATAAAATTCTAATTTTGTTTCTTTCCTACTGCTAGATACCACTTAATTTATTCGAATACCAGGTGTCGAATTTAGTATATTCTATGTCAACTGTATTTGGAGGAGTCTTACCAGGAAATTGCAGTATAAATTCACTCTAACAATAATTTATTTATTTATTTCTATTTTTATATAAAAATAGCCCCCAAAAAAATTTATTCACTAAGATTTAGCGAATAGTTACTGTTTTCTGAAAATAATTGATCTACTTGCCTACTCCACGCCTGAATTAATTCACTACCTCTTTGATGGAATTGGCACCTTTCATCATCATTTTCTAACGACTTCCGATGTTCGGCAAAGGGGCACTCCAAAATTAACATCAACACGTCCTCACACTGTTTGCTTAAATGTAACGCCGTGCAGTAACGACAATTACGTACTGCTAATAATGGTACTTGACACACTGCACAATATCCAAACGTAAGGCGGTTATCTGTATTAAGACTACCATAATTTATCTTGAACAGATGCTGAATGAAGATACCAGTACTTTCACTCACGGTTTGAAATAGCAAATTTTGGCTCCTGAATAAACTATCCTTTGGTACTGTAAGATATTCCGGATATTAAAATATCTCATTATTGTTTCTTAATGTAAAACGTTTGCCTCTGACTTGCTGTTGTGCCACTGTG